ACTAATTCGGTCATATAGAAGGCAAAAATCCTCATCAAAATCACAAATCCGTTACAATGGGATCCGCTGCAGCGAATTTCCTGCCCGAGAGCAGGAAAACCATACACCCCTTGCAGCGGGAAATCCATCTACTGCAGCAGTTGCACCAGTTTTGTTAGGGTTTTTTCAAAAACCTTAGCGGCACTGTAGCAGGAAATTGATCCGTTGCAGCGCCCAGACACGAAATGCTATCAATTTGAGCTGATTTAGAGAGATATAAAAGGGGAGAACACTCATTTTCCTAAAATTGGAGAGGAAGAGAGGAAAGAGATGCACAAAATCCCTAAAGAAGAAGAAACTTTGGAGGCTCAAATCCCATGATTTCATTAAAGATCCTCGAAGAAGATGGTGGATTCAAGCTTAGAAGATCATTCTTCCAACATAGTTCTTCTTTCTTCTTTTATTTCCTTTTTAATTTGTAGTTTTTATTTTTGGTTATGGATTCCTCTATGTTGAGCTAGATTATTATTCTAGGACTTGATGTTACCTTATTTGAACTATGTTTTGAATATTTTACCAATTGTTAGTTTGATTTCCATTTAATTCATTTGTGTTTCTCTATGTTAATTGCTCTAATTTGTGTTTTCATGGATTAGAGATATAGATGTGTAGATTTAGACTCGGGAGGGTTACTTTTACATGTTAGAATCGGGAAAACACAACCTAAAGTTAGTTGAGTTCGGGAGACCAATTAATTCGGGTAATCAAAATTACTTTGCTTAGTGGATGCTTGATTCAGTTAGGCTAATAGAGATATTGTTTAATTGGGCTTTGCATACTATTTTACCCGGCACTCGAAAGAGGGAGTGAAATTACCTTTGAAAACCTAATATTAATGAATTAAGTGGAATTAGCTCGCAATAGTGAAATATGATGAATCTAGGAATGATATAGTCAAGTCAAGTCCCTAGTACATTTGTGTATAGGAGTTTTCATATTTTATTTTATTTTATTTTCATATTTATATTTGTTCTTGTTCTATTCTAATTTCAATTAGTTCGGATTCCTAAATAAAGTTAAATTACGATAATCACGATACTTAATGACGATTTAACATTCAATTTCTATGAAGACAATACTCACTCACTTTTTACTATTAAAACTTGACACCATACGCTTGTGGACTTACAACTAGAAACTAGCCTGGACTCTTATCAAGTTTGAAAACTAACAAGTCTCTTTTCTTATTATATATATATATATATATATATATATGCGCGCATGCTTCAATACATACATATATATGTATAATTGTTTTTTTTCCCCTAGCTATAAACCTCTGATACTATTATTTATAATTATCTTTTTATATTGAGAGATTGATAATCGATTAAAGAGAATTTAGACGTACTCTTTTAATGAATTTCACTTTTAGGATTGAACTCTAAACGTCAATTTTTTTTTTCTCTTAATAACTCTAAACCTCAATTTACATATACACACACATATAACTATTAGATATATAACTCTTTTTATTACGCACATATATATTTATATAACTCTATTAAAGTTCTAGCTTTTCCATCATTACATTTGCATGTTATATTATTGCCACGATCAGATGATGATCGTGACGGAAGAAAATACCTATTTGGCTGCTTTTATCAAATATTGTGTGTAAAACTTAAAATAATTATAATTTAATAAGAAAGTTTTATTAGTACAATAATTTTCTAGAGATTTTTATTTGCGATCGAGAACAACTATTTTTTATAACGAACTACTTGATAGATGCTCTTTTTAAAAATTAAAAGAGTCATTTTGTCAATTTTACTTTGCTCGTGATTCTAACAAATGACCATGTAACATTTTTAACTACAAATTTGTACATACTGTAACCTAAAACGTTGTGTCTTTTATTTCAAAAAAAAAAAAAAAAAAGTGTTGTCTTTAGATTTTACTGCACCATGATTGTGATTTTTTACCTGATTCGGAACATGCATTGGATGTTAATTAACCGGGAAAGAAGAATAAATTAAAATTGTCATTGAGTTGGTATGATTACAGGTTGTCTTTATCACTTGTAAGCGAGAAATTCCTTTGCCTCTGTGGCGCGTAATGTTCGTTCTCTGTCATACATATAGCGAAGAAAAATGATAACAAAACAAAATAAAGTTTCAGTTTCAAGAGTTATAAAGATCATTATATATCGGGGATCTCTACCACCACCATCTCCATCTCATCCCAACTACAAATATGTTGAAAATATAAATCTAAAGATGATATTGAACTGTGGTTGCCAAATTCCATGACAATATATATATTCATTCATGGACGGTATCACATTGTTTTTTGTTTGCTTCTCTCTTGAGACGTGGATGGATTGGAAATATATATTGTTGTTATTTTATTTTTATTTTATTTTTTTTGAAGGAAAGATGTTCACATCTCTTTGGTGACAAATCGAGCCCACATGGAATCTTTTGTTTTCACGCTCGGCAACTTAGTGCCTACTGAGCTATCAAAGCATCAACCTGTGAACATAGAAAACTCTCTGCGCCGAAACTAATACAATGTCCGTGTTTCACATTTTACAAGTAAATTAATATTGTAAAACCTAGCTGTTTTATCATTAGAAAAGGAAAACAAATTAAAACACGTCTACTTATAGATAAATGTAGAGGCACTCCAGAACTAGGAGTACCTAAACTGCTGCAAAAAAGCGCGTAAATTTGGACGAATCTAATTAAGTTTTGACGAATTCAAAAAAAAAAAAAAAAAAAAAAAAAAGGTAAGCATCACTAAAATTATAAGTATTATAATACCAACCTCAAGCCGGCCCATAATGGAAGAAGATTGACGGGAATCTGATTCCTTGGAAATTAATATCACTTGAGAGTTAATTAGTTATATCTTTTGTTGTTTGATTTTTAAATTTGAGGTGTGAATATGGTTGGCACATTTTAAACAAATATTTCGTTTTCCCGTGCTGAATAGACACAACGACCGTTTGTTTTTTTCACCGTCCTGATCTAGATATAAGAACAGGGAAGGAGAACGATGCATACAAGAACGAGGTATCATATACTAAACTTCCACAAAATTGGAATCTTATCCTTCCTTCAAGATGAGAAGATACTTAAGGACTATATATCGAAAGAAAAATCTTAATCTTTTAACTACTACCGCTGGTACAAAACACAAACAATATACTAAAACTGTCAAATAAAATAGTGAAATTCAGGTATTTCATTTTATCTTTTTATCATGTGATAGTCTTTTTTAGTGACACCCGCACGAGGTTATCACTAATAATTTAGGGGTGAACAGCGACCCTCATATTTAGTATGTACAAGTTTTTATTTCACTGGACTTATAATATAGTATAAGTAGACTTTTTTAATGAAAAAAATTGAGAAATACTATATATATATATATATGTTTAAAGGCCTTTCATAAACTAAAAGGAGAAATATTTTGTAGCCATGTTAGTTTACCAATCCATCCCAAAAGCTTAAGCTATTAGGAGGTGGGCCAATAATAGTTTTATACTTTAACACTCCCCCTCACGTGTGGGCTGGACAATGGGCAATCGTGTGTGTAAATTAATTGAAAAGCCCAACACGTAAATATTTAAGCCCGAGATATATTAAAGACCCAACACGTGATGACAATTTAAATAGGAATAAAGAGTGCAATTACAGGGATTTGAACTCAGGACCTCTCGCTCTGATACCATATTAGTTTACCAATCAATTCTAAAAACTTAAGCTATTAAGAGGTGGACTAACAATAGTTTTATACTTTAACAATAATGAAAAGAAAATTTATTAGTAGAATATGTTTCTTAACCGTCACGTCAAATTAAGGTACGGTTTTTTACCATTACAGTAAATAAGAATCACACACGAGAATTTAATGAAACTGGATAAATATTTGAGGGCTAAAAGTCAAGCTTGTGGGCACTATGTATTAGGCTATTGGGGACTGAAATCTGTAGATGCACGTCTTTTATATAAATATGTATCTCAATCAAAATCGAAAGATCATGTGCTTACAATTTCAGCAAGAATAAGACCTATAATGGATCGAGTATGGCATGCACGTGAACACAGAAATATGCTCAAATTAATACTCAAGTAACTCAATCCCCACGCCAAACTAGAAGCCTCGATGTCAAATGACAGCTGTCCTATCTTTGAGACTCCTATTGAAAATGTTGAAGAGTATCTGAAGTAGGCCAATGCAATCACCTCGTGCATGATATATGGGCTTTCGACAACGTAGACATTAACATAAACTTATAAAAGGTACCAAAAGATCAAAATTTTCGCACTCGTTGGGATTTTTTTAGACAATTAAATAGTATAATTGACATGAGTGCAATTTTCATTTTTGGTCTAGTACTTTTACCTTTGCAAAGCATGTATCCGCATGCACGTGTTGGAGTTATTGGGCTATATAAAAAAAAAAAAAAAAAAAAAAGTTACAAAGTAAACTATGTAAGTATTCACAATTAGAAAGAGCCATTTAAGTTGCTTAAAAACTAATCAGAATATGATGCTTTGAATAACAAAAGCAGATCACCCCAATGGTCAGTGCTCCATCAACTCAACGAGAAAGGGAAACATGGATGTTTGAAAGTAACAGAAAGCACTAAGAGAGAGAGGGGGGTTACTGCATTTCATATAATTGCTCATTGGTAGTCAATTAGTCATCATCTCAAGCATCATCTTCCACGTCTCAAATACTCGTAGCTTTTTAATTATGTTATCCACTACTCCACGAGTATTCTCGTCCTGTATTATTATATTTTTAGGCTTCATATATTGCCAAATTCAACTACTATATAGATAATTATGCAATATGGATGGATGAGTAGTGCCAATATGACAAGTTGATGAACAATGATAAATACTTTCATTTTCTAAGCGCCAAATTTGGTAGCTACATTACAAATCAAAGCGACACATATATAAATTCCCTAAACAATCAAATGAATCCCAACCCTCCCTTTAATACTTTATATATCTATCTATAAAGAAAAAAGAATTAGATATAACTATTTTTAACCTATCTTTTAAAGAAATCCTATTTTCTAAAAACCTAACAGCTCATCTCCCATGAGTCTCCGAACAACTTGTTAATTGGATTTAAATCGGATTTCAAAAACCGGAAAGGGACTTCGAGCCATTAATTGACCGGTGCGGTGAGCTTTTTCAATCATGACTAGAATCCACGTCAGGCAGGCCCACAACATGGGTCCACACTTCCCCCAACTTGACCCCACGTGAGGAAACAACAAAAGAACTGCGGGGCCCACGCCTTATGAAACCCAACTTACTGGGCCTAGAGTTAGACTGTGGGCCACATTTGGGCCTACACCAATGGGAGTAGCAAGTTAGCGGAGAAGTTAGAAGAAAAGCTGCCATAGCTGGCAAATCGCCACAGCGAGGCTGATCAGGCCGAACAACATGTGGGGACACGAGGACGGTGATCCGCTGCTTTCATCGAGGGCGCCTTCGTACACCATTGTGCTGTTGATGTGGGGTGAGTAGGTGTTTGAGTTTTGTCCGTCCTGTGATGCTTTTTGGCTGCAAAAAACGACACGCAAAACCAACGTTCAGTAAAAAGTTACCGTTGTAAAAGAATAAAAATAAAAATAAAAAATAACGGACATCCAGAACGGGTAGTACTAAAAATTACTATTAATTGGGGCAGCGTTTTACTTCGCTTAACTTGACCGTTACCGAAAGTGTTGTCGGGTTGGAATTCGTGCGAGTAGGGATTCTACCAAGAAAATTAAAAAAACAAAAAATAATCAAATCCCTAATGGATTTGTGTAATTTGCTTCAGATGCATTGGAGACACTGCATATGGAACTCCGAAAAAGACCAGCAGAAAAGTACCCGAAATATTCTTTTTAACTGTTCAGAGAAAAAAAATCGAAATGCAACCAAAAAAAAAAAAAATCTTAATGCAAGGCTTAACAGGAAAAGACTACATTACCCTTCTATTGCTTAATTAAGTTGGGAAATTAGTTGATTTTCAAATTAGCTGTGAGTTATGACCAAATTGGTTTGCGTTATACCAAATCATATTAAAAGAGTTTTGACTTTTGAATTGTAAACAGAATTATATATCAAGAAAAACCTGAAAGCATGTGTATGAGGGAAACGTGTCTGCCAAATAATCACTAATGATGGCTTGGGCATGCCCACTGTTTGAGTAACGCTCAACAGAACTGTAATTACTAAAACGTCCTTCCCCCTTATCTTTTTTTTTTCTCCCGTCCCAACGTTAAAAAAGTTAGTTTTGAAGAAACAACAAGAACTCTGAAAAGCTAGGCCGTAAAACGTGGCGAATACATTAAAACCCCTACCACAACGTTCATATTGACAGGCTTTTCCCGACGACAGTCTGTTAAAAATTATTTAAAAAATCCCTTCAACGTTATAGTGAGGGAGGTTCAAAAGAAAAAATTGAAGTGCGACGAGGGCATTTGCGTAAACTCACCTGGTGTTTGGCGAAGGGCAGAAGGTGATCGTGTAGCTACTGACAGCCGAGCAAGTGAAAGTGCTGGACTTATCGTCGTATGCATAGCTGTAGGCGCGTGGGCACGCGTTCTTGAATATCTGCGAGTACGAAGACGGCTTGCAGGTGTCAGGTGAGCCGTACGCGCCGCTGCAACAGTACTGCGGCTCCCTGAAAGCCTCGCACGCGCTCCTGCAAGCGACACCTTCTCCGCCGTCCACCGCCGTCACCTTAAGCTCCGACGGACACGCGCCGTTGAGGTCGACCACGCAGCCAGTGCTGGTACAGTTCTGGCCGCTACCGCCCTGGGGAGCGAACAGCATGGGGATGTTGTAGCCGTCGACGAGGCTGACGTCGAAGAAATCGAGGCCGCCGTGGCCGTTGAGCGTGATCTCCGCCAGCGTGGCGGGCGGCGTTGCGCCATTGCCGGAGCATTCAAGCTTCCCGGAGCCGCAATCCCCTGTGACGCAGGAGAATTTGCCGGTGGTGGGGTCGGTGGTGCAGTGGGTCCTACCCCAGAAACGGCCTGCCCAGCCGGATGGGGCAGTGAGGGTCTTGGACTCGCCCTTCTGGAGAACAAAGCCGGTTGTGGGAAGCGGCGAAACGCCGGCGTTTGAGAGAATGCCTGGCCATACTGTGTACTCGCACTTGTTCAGCAGAGTGAAAGTCGTTGAAATTACTCCTGTAACATTAAGAAAAAAAAATCAAAACTTGGAGATTAGTAGTAATGCTGGCATAATTAAAAGTTGGTTCTTGTTTTCATACATTGTTGTTATGTTGTGTTTACCTGTTGTTAATAGCTCAAATGTTAAAAGGAAACAAAATAGTAATGATGCTGGTTGAGCCATTAAAAAGAGGAGGAGAAAGTGGCGGTTGGTGGATCTCAAGAACTCTAATAATACAATGCTTCTCCTCCTCTGGCTTTTTTGGGAGACTTTATGAGATGGAGAGTTGAGATGATGAGATTCTTGAAACAAGATGAGGAAGATATATTTATAGAGGCAATGGGCGAGGGGTTGGCGACCTTACATTTTTAAATTAAAAATTATAAAGGGGGTCGTTTACCTATGCAATTTCTTGCTTAAACGCCATAATGAATTATTGGTCTTCTTTGCTAGGAACAATCATGAACAATTGGATGACATAGCGTTTAAGCTATAAACGGAGGTTTTCAGCATGATTGTTTACTAAACTTGTGATGATTAGCAAATTATTCTCTATACTTTTAATTTTAATAATCAATCGCTTGAAATTATAAAATTTTTATAATATGCCTCATTTTATTAAATTTATTCAAATATTTTATTATATTTAGAGGATTAAAGGTTGAGAAATTAAAAGATTTATATATACATTTGAATTGATATATTAAAATTTTAGATCACACGTGTTTTTTTCACATTAATTTAACACAATAATAATTAAAATGAGAGATATTATAATAATTTTACAAGTTAAATGAGCAACTTGTTAAAATTAAAAATTTAAGAGAGTAAAATTATTAAAACTATACAAGTTTAGGAGGTAAATACGTAAAATGTATTTGCAATTGTAAGAGGAAAAAAATGTAGTATTTTTTTTTTTTTTTTTAACATGAGAGAATTGATGAAATTAGAATTAGGTATGAAATTATCGATAGATTATGCATAATAATACAAAAAACAACATATTTTAACTTGAAGTACTATTTATTTATTTTATAAAATAAATCTTAAAAAAATAGACGTAAATGCTTGTCAAAAAATACATGGTTATCAAAAGGGTGACATATCAGTGTATATATAACATAAATTAACTTCTTAAGCAACTCGAGTGATCAGATGTCGGCAATAAATTTTTGCTTTGATCCTGCTCGAGTCAGCTATCACCTTTAGGCTTTAGCATCTTATCTTATAATCATAAAATGCTTCCATTCATAATATATTTATCAGAACCGAAGATATTTATGACTGTCAATTTATTTCCCACCTCATCCCACAAAAGGGGCGCAAAATAAATCAAAATAATAATAATAATAAAAAAAACAAACAAACAATCGGTCATCATTTATTGACAACGGCATTATGACTTAGTTTGATAGTGCCGTAAATTTTAAAAAAATTATTTTTAAGCGTGTTGAAGAAAGAAACAGTTAAGTATTTAATAAATTATAATTATAGTAGGTGCTGATTCTAAAATCTTGAAATAGTGTTTGATAAATTATGATATTGAATTGTTATAGATAGTTAAAAATTACAGTTATAATATAATATAATATAATAT